ATACATGTACTTAATTATGCTTGTCCAGAGAAATGCTGGAAAAGAGTTGATGAAATTTGATTAAACTTTTACACAGCGAAAATAATCAAGTGAAAGAAAGTGTTTTTTCAAAGAACCCTAATTTTTGTGTCGCCTTGAAAAGGTGACATAATAGGGGTTACTTTTGTCGGCGGCGTCTGTGTCGTTGTCGGCGTCCCCTAAAGCTTGTCCAGAGCATAACTCAGTCACTATAAGTCTGATTGACTTCAAACTTGGTATGCATGCTTCTTTTGATAACCCGAAGTGCAGTGCACAAGGACCGGTACTCTGCAGTTCTTATTTTTTGAGTTATTGCCCTTTGTTAATTTTCATACTTTAATTTTGTCCGGGCCATTTCTCTTCAACTAAAAAAGCTATGGACTTGATACTTCATAGGATGATAGATCTCATTAAGAAGAAGTGCAGTGCACAAGAGCCAGTACTCTGTACTTCCTAATTTTTGAGTTATTGCCCTTTGTTAATTTTCATATTTTATTTTTGTCCGGGCCATTTCTCCTAATGAATAAAAGCCATGGACTTGAAACTTCATAGGATGATAGGTCTCATTAAGAAGAAGTGCAGTGCACAAGAACTGTTACTCTGCATTTCTTATTTTTTGAGTTATTGCCCTTTGTTTATTTTCATACTTTAATTTTGTCCGGGCCATTTATCCTTAAGTATAAAAGCTATGGAATTGAAACTTCATAGGATGATAGATCTCATTAAGAAGAATTCCAGTGCACAAGAACTGGTACTCTGCATTTCTTATTTTTTGAGTTATTGCCCTTTGTTGATTTTCTTTCTTTATTTTTGTCCTGGTCATTTCTCCTCAAGTATGGAAGCTATGGACCATCCTGGTATGATAGATCTTATTGATAAGAAGTGCAGTGTTCAGAAACTGCTGCTCTGAACTTATTATTTTTTTAGTTATTGCCCTTTGTTATTTTTCATACTTCATTTTTGTCCTGGCCATTTCTCCTAAACTACATTGTTCACAAGGCGACACATCCGACTCGCGGAGTTCTAGTTTCTAGCTTAATTTTACAATTATCATCTCTTAAAATACATGTACAACAACTTTTAAAATAATGGTTGTCTGGAGTAAATCTTTTCAATGATATCACACTCAAACTAAATACAGTTGTAGAGACTAGTGAGCAGAAGTCTTGTGTCAAATAACCAAGATTCTACATTACTTAGTTTTTGAATTATCTCCGTATATATTTCATGATACTGTTCTGAGGGTGGATTAAAATATTGAAGGAATTTGATTGAAACTTTATAAACGTTATACAGTGAAAGAGATTAGCATGAGAATTGCAGTAAACAAAGGCCATTATAAGTTCTAATGACATGGTCACATTCATATAATGTGATGCAAAAAATATTGACCATTTGAATGTTTACTTGATACTGATACAGAAAATTTGATATATATCACAATTGATTATTTTTTCATATCTTTGTCTCCCTTTATAATGTCATGTGTTAAAATAGTCAAGCTTGCTGTTTCCTCTGGTAGCTCTAATTTCACTTGTTGCTCTTGTCAAAAAAGGCCAATAACGATTTATGATCGACCTACACGTACATGTAACCTAAATATTATATTTGAACATGTGTGTCATAGAATAATTGTATCAACTACTGTTCATTTACTGAATTGTGCACTTTATATTTATCAACCGGCAACACCCTTTACTCATTGAAGTATCTGCCCCGAAATAGAAAAAAATAGTTACTTGATCCTTCATACGTCCCAACTGCAGTGCCTTCAGCACTTTGATTTATGTGTGTTTTGACATTTTTAGTAGTTGAAAGACAAAATTAAAATTATTGATATTCTGGAAAAATATGTAGTCACTTCGTTGCCAAACATGTTGCTCTCATTAAATGATTATTATGTTTCCTTACTGTCCATTATTTTACTATCATCTACAGCAATTAAACCAACATTAATTACATAACCACTTTTTATTAATTTCATAACAAGGTAGCTTGTTTACACTTTTAACATATTTTTCCTCTACATTTAGTTAATGATGTAAAAGTCTGCTTAAGTAATCAACGTATAGGTTTTAAGTAGCTTGGTTTGTTGTTGTTTTGTTTTTTTTACATTAATGTCTCGTCTTAATGACTTTGTTGATTGAACCCGACTAGCCAAAAGTATGATTATCAAAGAAGAATTATCTAATTATACTCTTGATTAAAGGTTAGATAGTATGAAGATACGAAATGAGTATTTTATTGAAGTACAATAATACCTGCTTAAATATCTTTTTTATGAGTATGATGTTAACAAAACAGTAGAAACAAGTTAAATTGTATAAAAGCAAAGCTTTATAGTTAATTCACAACCAACAATTTTAGGAAATTCTATTTATATATCTTTAATGTTTTTGTGGTGACAGAGTTATCCCTCGGAAGCATTCACAACAAAATTACATGGAAACTGCAGACTTAGTTTGTTTGAACCTATACGAGGGACAAGAAAAAGTGCAACCGCCGCCATGAACCCCTAGCACCGGTTTGAGCCGGTTCCAAAATTCTCTATCGAATCCTTATGAAAGTGGGTCGTTATATACGCTCGTATTGTTGAAAACAATACTGATTCTATTGTCCTCACGAGTAACGGTAAAATCTCTCCTTTTGGATATCTAATTTGACAGCGTTAAAATAACATAAGGATTTTTTATTCAATCAAGTGCCATAAATTGCTCTCATAAAGAAAAAAATTAAAGCCATGAAAAGTTTATTATAGTAACACCATTGCGCTACTCTCACCATTATAACACCAGTAATTGCAAAAGACATATTTTTCTTGAATATCAAAAATTTAAATTTTGTCTTTAAACTACTTAAAATGTCAGAACACAAAAAAAACGAAAATAGAAGATGTGGTAGACACGTTTGCACATATGTTTCTTATTGAATTTGCACATGCAATTTTGGTGCAATATTGGCATCATTATAATTCATTCAACGTGTACTATATGTCTATAAGGTATACGGTATTTACGAATGGGTATGATTATGTAATAGAAAGAGCACCGAAACACGAGGCTATCTGATTTGTACGAGGGGGCGTAGCCCCCGAGTATTAATCAGATTGCCGAGTGTTTTGGTGTTCTTTCTCTTTTGTATCATAGTCAAACATTAAAGCACGTTCCCTGTTGTCACAATATCAAACCCCGGCAAAAATTAACCAATGAACGAACATCTGAATATGACATTTCTGTCGCTTTCCCTTTCTCTGCCGTTACAATATGTAAACCCCAGCAAAAATGAGCCAATCAATGAGCATGTTCTTGAGTGCGGGTAACTAATACCCGCACTCCAGTTAACGCACTGTGCATGTATATGTATACGATTTAACCCTGACACATTTTCAACAGAAAGGTCTCCAAACTATGATACAAAATGAGTTTTAGAAAGTCAGTAAACAGACGGTATACAGTTACTTTGTTGCCAAATATGTTGCTCTCATCAAATGATTATTATGTTTCCTAACTGTCTATTATTTTTCTATCATTTACAACAATTAAACCAACATTAAATACATAAAAACTTTTCAGTAATTTCATAACAAGGTAGCTTGTTTACACTTTTGATATTTTTTCCTCTACATTTAGTTAATGATGTAAAAGTCTGCTTAATAAATCAACGTACAGGTTTTAAGAAGCTTGGTTTGTTGTTGTTTTGTTTTCCTTCCTTCTACTTTAATGTCTCGTCTAAATGACTATGTTGATTGAACCCGACTTACTGCAAGCATGATAGAAGAATTATCTAATTATACTCCGTGATAAAGGTTAGGTAGTATGAAGATATTGAATGAGTATTTCATTAAACTAAAATAATACCTGTTTAAATATCGTTTTCTGTTTTGATAATAACGATGTTAATATAACAAGAAAAACAAGTTAAATTTTATATCACCAAGGCTTCATGGATTAATACACAACCAGCAATTTTACGAAATTATATTTATATATCTTTAATGTTTTCGCTTGTAAAAAATCTTAAGAAAGAGTGATCCCTCGGAAGCATTCACAACAAAATAATATGGAAATTGCAGACTCGGTTTGAGTGAATCTGTACATGAGGGATAGTGAAAAAGTGAAACAGACCTTCATAGCACCGGCTTGAGCGGTACTCAATTTCAAACACTTAAGAGTGCTGGAATCAATGATACCGCAGGACCAGAAAAATATAACAAAACTTAATTATACTCTAATACTTTATAAGATTTTATACAGGATTTATCTTTAGAAATGATAAGTTACAACACATGATGTGGATTATACATCAGACAGTCATATTAGTCTCATGTTTTGGTGAATTTTGAATGAACTGTTTGATAGATTGACTTCTTACTTCCAGTGATCTTGTTAAGTTTTGAACGTCTCATTCCTGTAAGAGTTATTTAAATTGGCTGCAACGTGTTAAAGGAATCATTCAACGGTCAAAAATCAAGCGTTTCCTATATAAAAGGACTGTAAATTAGTTAGATATTCCCCTCCGGTTCAGCTTTCTAGAGATGTACCATAACAATCTTAACAGAAATAGTTACTTGTACCCTTTATGTTTGACCAAATTGACAGATTGTTGACGAATTTGATTTTCACTATATATGTTCCATTGTCAGATTGTTAAGTCCTTTCAAACAATGAACATCCACTTACATGATAAGTATCATACAAAAGGTCAATAACAAATATTTTCCTTAAAACATTCTATTTGTAATAAAGTCTTTATCGTTTTAAAACATTAATAAAAGAATATTTTAAAAATTAATTAAAAGTCAACCTCTTTTGAAAATAATTATCATTTCGATAAAATAAAGACTTTTTTCGCAAGAATTTGTTCCTAAGCTTATATGGTATATAAAAGTCATTCTTTTAATCATGTGTTATTACGTAGTACAAAAGAGCGAATGTATTTAAAGAAAACTAATTTCTCTTTTTGACTTCCTTTTATGTATTTTTTATTGTGAATATCAATTTGTCCTCTGAACACCAAAGCATGGCTTTTATAAGTAAATTTTAAATGTTTGTCTTTTTTCAGCTTTGACAGTGAAATACATTACAAAAAGATTCATCATGGAGTATGATCCATATATAGGTAAGATTTTAAAGACGAATAATTTGAGCCACGTCACGACAAAATCAACATAGTGCGTTTGCGACCAGCATGGATCAAGACCAGCCTGCGCATCCGCGCAGTCTGATCTGGATCCATGCTGTTCGCTATCAGTTTCTCTACTTGTAATACGGTTGGTATGCGAACAGCATGGATCCTGATCAGACTGCGCGGATGCGCAGGCTGGTCTGGATCCATGCTGGTCGAAAACCCATTATGTTGGTTTTGTCATGGCGCGGCTCATTTCTTAAATATTTTCACTTTGTAGATCATTTCAACTTTCAACTTAAATTAAATTATCGTTTAGCCATAACATTTTTGCACATTTTGACAATAAATGCGCTTATGTTTACCTTCCAGGAGTTTCCTTTTTTCCCTTTCATTAAGTTACAATTTCGTGTAAATATAATTATCTTAGAATGATTGACTTCAACTACATAAAATATATGTTTTAGTACATGTATATTATAACAAATAATATGATCTAAAACTTACGATACTATCTATTTACAGACAAATTAGTTAAGCTGATGGTCAAACATTATCGTGTGTATACGATGGTATATTTTAAGAGTGTTCGGCAGCTTAGGAGTATGAATATGTAGAAGACATTTTCTATGGACTTGTACATTCAATACAACGGCAACGAGGAGAACGAAGTCTAGCTTTTTCACCATTGTTTATAACGGAGGACAAATATCACTCTATGCAAAGAAATAGACTACGCTCGCCAAGAAGTAGTACGGAAAAGAAAGAAGACAAAGCATAGAACCAGCTTTAAACAGTACTGTTTAATAAAAGTTTTAAGATATTCAATTAACGAAAACAGTGCAGTGCTAAAACGCAAAACTGTGCTCATAAAGTAAAGTGTGGAAACCCCTCTACGTAAAGGAAGTTTACAAATGAAAAATTTCTATTATTCGAATGGAGTTATAGAAGTTCCTAGATGTGATTGCTGAATGAATAAACCAGAAACAAATTAAAACGGTACAAAACAATAATACCGATCCGATGTAATTATGTTAATCGTTTTCTCTGTAATTGACTTTTACGATTGTACTGAAAAGAAAAATGATACTTTGTAAATGATGAAAGTACAAATAGTACTAGTATATTATGTTTCTTGAAATATTGGCGCTGGCGCTACAATTGAATTCCAAACTTGCCGACATAAAAATATGATAAAACAAGTATAATTATCAATCAGTGAGTATGTTCCAAATATGTTGACCAGATTTAAAATGTTATAAAATTTGTTTAGTATTTAAAACAATGAATATTATGTTTACATAATATGCTTGATATTGTTATGCATAATATATGATATAAAACTTATTTGTTTCAATATTGAATTGCTATTAGGAACCCTGGAATGTGAGAATATTTTAAATGTCCATACCAAGTATAAAATATGATAAGGAGGGGACTGGAAGGCTAGAACACTTACTGAAATTAAATTACTATAAATATTATTAAACCAGATATTTCATTCTCTTTTTCTATGTTATTATATTCAAATAAAACAAGTACTGACCATATATCGTATATTTTATTCCAGAGTGACATAATCAGCGTTATATTCCTTTTACATTCACCTAACACGAATTTTGTATTCAACTCTATAAGACGACTGTCTTCATAATTATAAGGACATTCAGAATTTCGATCTAGTCAAAGTGACTGGAGTAATCTGGGATTGTAAGATTCTTAAACTTTAATGACAAAAATATGCAGTTGAAATATAGATTTAAATAAATTATATTTTTCTTACTCGACTTCGTTTTTATTGACGTGTTATAAGAGAGTACAATAAATTGAGAGAGAAACTTCTGTTAAACTTTGAAGTTACATCAGATAATGCCAATCATTCCTGCTAAATTGATGAGTACATAAATAGATGACTTATTCTTCTTACAACAAACTTTTTCAAAGTGTTCTAGCAACAATTTATCATTGTTGTGGCATTACATAGTCAAACATTTTTTTGGCAACGAACTTTGGCAAAAGTCATATTTCAAAAATGGTTAAACACTTATCAAAGATGGATATGTTCCGGAATCGAGTTTCGTACCTTTAAACAATCAATTTACTTTTTATTTTCCAAATATCATACCTGCTTCATTTCACGGATAAAGTTGTGTCAGAAACGTTTTCTTTCAATTTAGGTACTTTGTAATAAAACCAAAGTATATATCTTGTGTCCTACTGTTTTGATATTCTGCAGTGTTAACTTTTGATAACAAAACAGAAACTTATTTGTCTAACTTGAACATTTACAGTTCATTGTTACATACATTTACATTTATAATTAACGTTAAGAAATGTTGCTTTGTTTTGTATTATATGATAATATTTTATGATTCCTATAAGACCAACCACACGCGTACATTCAATTATTTATTTTCACATCGTAGTTTATAAAACAGATTTGTTAACTCTTTCACATACTTTCGAGAAGTAACTCATACTTTTAAACTCAGATTTCTTTCAAACTCACATATGTTGGGTAATGACATTACGTGTCAATTGTGTATTTCATTAACAGAAGATGGAAAGTATTAACTTAAACATTTCCGGCATACTTTCATGTTCAATGTGAGGCCAATCAGTCTTCGACAGACCATTAAAGAAATATTATATGATCTATAGTTAATTCATGATTTTACGAAGAAATAAATCGTAGATTATAAGCTTCATTGTTTGATAAATGAGAGAATCATTCTATGAGTTGAAAAATTTTAATTGCCAAAAAACTTGCTGCCAAGAATCAGTGTCAGTGATACGAAAACGCAATAAAGTAATTATGATATACATTAACACACACACAGAAGAATACGAACAAATATTGCACCTGTTGAAAATACTTCTAGCATGTTGCAGCTTTAGTATACATTAAAATAATATAAATTATCCTGCTAAACAATCTAAATATAATGATAAAACTACACTGTGCTGATTTCCGTTGTTCAAAATGTTTAATAACATATTTGTTCCCTTCATAAAAATTTATTGCAATAGAGTGCCGTAACTACGTAAATTATATCCAGGAAAATGCAAGTCGGTAAAGTTGAACAGAATAAATAAAAAACCATGTAGACAAACTCATCATAGTATTAAACGATCAACTATTAGTACAAACTCATTATAGTTTTAAACGATCAACTATTAGTACTTTTACCAGCATTTCATTGTCTTTTTTTCATTTATTTTCATTTAATTATTGTTTTGAAGGGGATGGGTGTTGTTGTTACTAAATTTAGCAGAATATAAAACATATAATCTAATACATATGAACGTCGGTGTGCTATCAAACGATTGTTATGTTTACTGATGTTCCATGCCAGTACTAATTATCAAAAGCTATGTAAATTAATAGGGCATAATACATACTAGGTTTCTTACAACATATCTTGTTTACACTTCTGACAAATGTTTATCCTCCATTTACAAAACAGTTGAATAATTCTGCGTAATAACTCAGCTTGTCAATTATAATAAGCATAGTTTGTTGTCGACTTTTTGTTTACTTTTTTTCCCTCGAGTTGAAAGTCGCTGCTGATATTGCATCACAACAGAATTATGATATCTTGGTTGTATCACGATACAGTATCATGATACTTACATTTAGATAAAATTGTAATGTGCGCATGTCTTTCTAAGTTAAAATATCCACTGTATCATATCTAAAAATATGTTATACTATCACAGTGACTAGATCTTGACATAAATAATATTTAGGTCTTAAAATGAGTATCATTTCATAAGTCGCCTGACTTCAAATATGTAATAAACAAATTAAAAACAATTGCAAGTTTCTGAAGTTCAAACATTTAAATCAGACATTGAAAATATATAACGCTATGTATCAACACTTCCGGATTATATCACGTTACGGTATCGTGATGGCAATAATCACGATTCATCGATGTATCGATTATATTGGACCATCGTTCATTACTACATATTTCAAATCTTGCATTCAAAAAAAAAAAAATAAAATGAGCAAAAACCTGAAAGGACCAACGATAAATGAAAGGAAATTATTTATATTTGAAATACCATGAAATTCAAACAAATGAAATAACACCAACTTTAGTTTAAAAATAATGATGAATTTAAAGTTGCATTTTCAGATGAAATGTATCTTAAGTTTCGGGAAAGTTTTACATACCTAAATTTTATAATACATAAATCTAAGTTTTTTTTCATTATTGTATTGATATCGTTTCAACTCATAAATTTTGTGTTTCCAAATTACACGAAGTATATTTGTAAAACATTCTATTTGTAAAGGGAATGAGCTTACATTCTGCATGATTCCCGTTCAACAGCTGTTGTTAATGGTTTGATTGTATGGTTATCAAATTTATCTTAAAAACATTTTTGATGATATATTTGAAAACAGTAATGGAAATACATAAATCTTAAAATGCAATCTTAAAGCTGCGGAAAGGTCACGGTATTAAATCAATCATAATTGTATGTAATAATGTTGTCGCTTATCAACATTTATCACAATTTGTTGTTGTTCTAATTGGGTTTTGAATATTTATATAATATAATGTTTTCATACGATGGTTACACAAGCTCCTGTGTAATTTTCATATGTATGCAGTTTTTATAGACATGTATCAATTAGAATTTATTTTATATTAAGGATTTGAGATCATTTTGCAGATATCTAATTATATTGTTTTGCATTAATACAGTTTTTGCAGATCTTTAAATACACCAGTGCCGTCTTGGAAACTCGCAATTTGCAAACTATCTAAGAACGGAATAATCTGTTTATTTTGTCACCATTTTTATCAAAACTTCATTTCAGCTTTGAAATTGGTTAACAGATTCGTCAGATAGTGTTTCAAGATATGCTGTCGGCTATCTAAAGACTTTATTTTTGTCCGTCTTTCTTTCGAACAAACAACTTTTGTAAAAAAAATTCGTTTCTATATTTTGATTGGCGTCAATGCATGCTAATTTCG